AGGATTGCCCAACCTTCCTTCCAAGGAGTGGCTGGTGGGTTTGAACCGCCAGCCTTCTGGTGAGCAGTCAAGTGCCTTAGGCACTATGCTACCTTATGTGTTCTAAATCCTAAGCTCTATGATGTGTATGGGGAGCTCTGGTAGCACTCCTCGGAAGGAAGGTTGGGCAATCCTACTTCCGTAGTGATACTGCCTCGGAAACCCAAGGAAAGGTCGCTATGAGTCGGGGCTGACTCGACGGCAAATGACAACAACAACAACAACATGATGTGTATGAAGCAAGACTAGATGCAGTTCAATTAATGAGGCAGGAAGCAATTTCAGGATTAGAAATTATCTTGAATCAATCTTTTTTGAGATATAAAGGAGATTAAACAAGTAAGCAGAGAGAGAGAAGAACCTGACTACCATGAAGAAAGAACCAGGAACAGAACATGTCCTTTGGACCCAGGGTCCCTGTGTTGAGAACCTACTAGACCCAGGGGAAGAATGATGCTAAGACACATGTAGATCTCCAAGGGATGTCAAACTCACAGATGTTGAAAGGAGACAAGGACTTTCCCCTAGAGACGAGAGAGAAAGAAAGCCTTTCCCTAGAGGTGGTGCCCTGATTTTGGATTTCTGGCCTTCTAAACTATAAGAGAATAAATTTCTGTTTGTTAAAGCCATTCACTTGTATTTCAGTTATAGCAGCACTAGATAACTAAGATAGGAAGTATCCCTTTCCACAGAGGATTCTGAAAAATGTTATGATAAAAAGAATTGGGCTTTAATAGTAGAAGAATATTATGGTACATTAGTGATTTTTCTATCTGATGGGTAATTCCCTGTTCCTCAATCTATGGGATTCTGGTAGGGCCCTGCCTCTCCTCAGACAGTGACAACAATGTGATTCAGGATGAACAAGCAGAGAATGTCATCCTTCAGGAAACAGTGATTGAGACAGGAGTGGATAGTTGAACTCAGAGGAGCAGATCAAGGTTGATGTTTGGAGATGGATATGAATATTGACAGAGACATCTCTCTTTTTGTCTAAGAGTATTCACACTAAAGATTGACTGCTAAAGGCCACCTTCCCCAGTTGGTAGAGTACTCTTGTCTGAAAGAGGGCTTGAAGGGAGAAAAGAGCCAGCATCTTGTTATTAGTTAAGTACCTGGATTATGCCATGCCTGAAATTGAATCCCTCACATATTTCAATTATATAAGCTAATAAATTATCTATTGAAGCTTAAACGGGTTAAGTTTCATATCTGCCATCATTAGCTAAGAGAATCCTGCCCAATATATAGAAAAATGGTATTTGGGGAGAAGAGGCCCTTTCTTTTGTCTCTTAAGCTGAACTCAATGTATAGCTGCCTACTTTTTAGGCTGACATTGGACAATGTCCCTCCCGCCATCATTCCCATTTAATTCCTCATTACCTGAAAATAGTTCAAAAGCACACCAGCCATAGACAGCCCCAGGCCTGCAAACATGAAGGGCAGTGTCACCTGAACACCAATGGACAAGGTAGTCTCCCTGCTGGGCTCAGTCCCAAGTTGTTTGGTAGCCACCTGTTGGCTCTCAGGAACACTCCAAGGTCCATCTTCTGAGACTGCAGTGGGTCTTCTTGGGCTGAGGGTTTGGGGCAGCTCCAGATCCTCTGGCCTACAAAAGCCTTCCAGCCTCCGCTGCCGAGTCTCTGCCCTATCCATCTGAGCACAGCTGAGCTTCTGGCAGCCCTAACCTAGGAGACACAAAGCAACAGGAGTTGTAGAGAAGAATTCCTGATTCTTATGAGCTGTACACCCTGTTAACCACTCAGGCCCTTCTGTCCAGCCAAAGACTGGCATCATTCAGGTCCATTAATAGCCTCTCTCTCAGCTCCTGCTCTGCATGGCTTCCTGCCACCTTGAGTTGTAATAGGTTTTTTTTTTTTTAATTTACTTTGCATATGTGTGAGAAAAAGCACATATACAAACAAGAGCAAAAAATACGTATGAATCAGAAGTCAGCAAAAAAAAAAAAAAAAAAAAAAAAGGCCTCTAAAAATTCTCTCCTTCAGGAAAAC